ATTAAGCGTTGAAAGTAATACACCATTGAATTGGTTTTGCTTTACTTCGCTCTACGATTAGTCCAGAAAACTTTCGCTACCCTGTCAACCCATCAGGTTTTGCCTAGCTTCGCGCTACGATTGGTCCAGAAAACTTTCGATACCTTGTCAACCAATCAGACGCAAATTGGAGGCAAATCGCGTCGTGCTTTTTGCGTTTTCCCGTCTTCTGGGTCCGGGCGTGTTTTAACTCTGAGCTCTCATTGGCTTTTGATGATCTTTCTTCGCTGTGATTGGTCGTGGAGGTTACCTTGGTTTTGATCGTATGAGATAGTCGTAAACCGCGCTGAAATTCTTCTTATGTACACTGGGCAGCGACGAACTGGAATATTAACTGGAAAAGATGGATACCTTTACAAATATTATAAGGGACTGTTTACCTTTCTATTTGAGTCTTTTTCAAAGAAAGCTGAAGCTTATTTTTCGGTTAAATCAGCAACACCATCCACAATCATGTCTACCTTACCCTTAGTCCAAATTGGTGGAGGGAGTAAGACCCTAGGAGAATTAGTGAAAGCAAAACTTATAAAGGAAAGAACAAACAAAAGAGCCAGTAAGTATGATAACGAACAAATGAAAGAGTAGTGAAAGAGAAAGTAAGATGGAAGAAAGGAAAGAACTAAGGAAGTGAAGGACAGATGGAGTAGGGATGGAAGGAATGGAAGGAGGGAGGGAGGAAGGGAGGGAGAAAGGGATGGAAGAAGGGAGGGAGGGAGGAACGAAGGGAGAGAGCGAGGGAAGGAGGGAGAGAGGAGGGAGGAAAGGAGGGAGGGAGAAGGAGGGGAGGGAGCAAGGGAAGGAGGGAGGGACGGAGGTAGGGAAAAAGAGAGGGAGGGAGGGAGAGAGGGAGAGAGGATAGGAGGATGGAGGGGAAAGAGTGGAAAGATAAGAAGGAAGGGAAAACGAGAGGGTTGGAAAAGAGGGTGAATGAAAAGAAGGAAAAAAGGAAGAGATTAGTCGAGGTAGGGGGAGGAGAGGATTGGGAGATGTGGGGTAAGGAAGGTTGGATGAGAGGGAGGGAGAGGATGAAAGGAAAGGAGAATGAAATGCAGTGATAGGGGAATGTGTGAAATGATTCATAAACTGTTCAGGATAGGATGAGAAAGGAGGAGGGGAAGGTAGGAGGTTGTCTGTAATGAGCTACGGTTCTGTCAATTCCTGTTTGAAAGGCAGGCAGCAAAACGGCAGCGGTGCAACTCTACAAGAACTCTGAGCACCAACACTTACGGAGCAGGCATGGGAAATTTTTTCTCTCCATCTGTAGCTTGACTACAAAATTGTTTAGGGGGAAGTTAGATTGACAGTTTAATGAGAACTGCAAGGAGCTCAGTCAACAAATTTTAAATCTCTTCAGCGTGCCAGGTGCTTAGGTCACTTCTCTTGCTTGTAGGTACCAACAATACAAATAACAATGGCATCCATGGCAATCTACATACTACATGTTTGTCAGTTCACCCTCTTCCCAAACATACAGCAGGAGAAGGATACAAAATAGATGAATTAAGAGAGATAGTTCCTATTTTAATGAAAATATTACCATCTTCTTTCACCTCTTATAACTGGAGGCCCCCTCCTCCCCACACCATTTTCCCCCAGAGATCAAACGCCAGTTAAGGCTTAAATTAAACAGTTCTCACACAGAAAATATTTTTTCAGTTTAGTTTATTTTTCTCTCCATCACTTCACAGCTGGTAACCAACAACTGGTCGGAATCACAAAACATTTAATGCTCTGTTTTTGGGCGCGTCTCGACCCATTTCTTTATTTCTGGTACATCCAGTACACGTTTGTGATGCGCAGCCAATAACGGGAACTTTTCGAGTGCTTTCGGGGCAGTGGGTTCGCCTTTTTCCAAAAGGTTCATCAGGTCAAAGAAAATGATGTCAGCATATGTCAGCTGTAAATAGATATCATAAAATAAATCTGTATTAGCCTGGGATGTAATTTTTGAAAAGAAAAATAGAGGAAGAAGAGGAAGAAAAAAAGTATAATGATAAAAATAATGATGCTAATAATTATTATGGTGATAGTGATGATAATGATGATGATAATAATAGGACTTTTGAGTAAATTATACATTTAGCAAATGCACTTATCTAATTGCCATAATCAACGTAATGATGCATTTTTAAATAGTACAATGGCAAGAGGCTTTAACATCGTTTATTCCACAAACAACAATGTGAATAAAATCAAGTAAACCTAAATAGAAGATAGGATTAAAAAATTG